CTCCCTCGTCCAATGGGATGCTGCGCAGGCGTGCCAGGAAGTGGTTGAAGATCATGTCTGTGCTGAGCACGTCCTCACTGAACCACACCATCCCACAGCGCGACACGGTGGCCAGAGTGGCGTACTTCAGGTCCTGCACCTCGAACATGATGCGTACCTGACACACACACACACACACACACACACACACACACACACACACACACACACACACACACACACACACACACACACACACACACACACACACCTTCAGCATCATTTTTTACTTCTTTATCATTGTTTGATTTCGAGTGTGAGCGGGTGAACTTACGTTTGGCGGCAGGCTGAGGCGCTCTCCGTTGGGCAGTGTCAGCAGCTTGTTGTCGTCCAGCACAGAGTTCAGATTCTCCACCCATTCAGGATCCACATCTCCATCAAAGATGATCCACTGCCGCTTCTGCAGCTCCCCGCGCACGTTATCAATGATCCTGAACACACACACACACACACACACACACTTAGCCAAGACTAACACAACTGGACATAAACACAACAACAACTAACAAACACTAGCTGAAAAACAGCATGAGAATGAGCTTCATATCACACACACACGCATGCGCACACACACACACACACACACAAGGAGAGACTGACTTGCGCAGCACGTGTGTGAAGAGCCCGTCGGTCCACTCGCGTGTGTTGGGGTCCAGCGTGCCGTACAGGTGGTCTTTGCTGATGGCTTTGGGGTCGATGATGTGAGCGACCCCCTCCACCCCCTCCAGCCGCTCCAGAGCCTTCAGCAGAACCCTCCAGGCCAGGGTCTTCCCGCTGCCGGACGGACCCACCATCATGAGGCCGTGGTTGATCTGAGTGATCTGGTAGAGCTGCAGGACCTGCGGAGAGACGGAGGAGAGTTACTGCCATCGGCCCGCCGGTATCAGTCTACACCCGGCTGAGGCAGCGCGACATGTCTCTCAGTCATCTGAGCTGCAGCAACAGCACATGCGCATGGATGCATCTGCTCTCCAGTGTTTCAGCAGTGTCTAGTGTCAGTCAGCGGTCTGCCTTCAGCTACAGCTCCTGTACAGTGAGAGTGTGTGATATACTCAATATCTCCATCTGCATGCACACTGGCTGCTGACTATACTCGACGCTGCTGTATGAAGGCCTGCAGGGCACCACACACTCCACCAAAGAGCTCGCTGATCTCATATATGACAGAGTTCTGGCCACAGGTGAAGACTACACTGGAGCTGATTTTAATAGTCATATATTCAGGGCTATTCAATTGGCGGGCTGAACCCGGCCCCCGAGGCAGTTTGTTCCGGCCCTCCAAACAGTGTGACCAAGACATCAAACATAAATGTAGTTCAGTCGGTAAACGGCCGCTATGGTTACAGGGCTCGAAATTGCGACCGTTTTGGTTGCATATGCGCCCGAAAATTAATCTAAGCGACCTCATAATATATTTGGGCGCATTAGTGCGACTGCAGATAATGGTTGTAGTGAGACCTGTTTTGATTTTTTGTAAAAACGTGCTGAATCGCTCTTCCCTGCCGCTATATTGGTTCATATTAGCTGTCAATCACTCAAGGTTTTCCGCTGTCAGATGACAGGTAAGGAGCTTTTATGACCACGGGAAATGCAAACGGCTGAAGAGTAAAAACTTAAAGCACACAGGTTTGCAAACCCCACCTAAAGTTGAGGCGCAGATGAAAGCGATCATGACATGTGGTGAATAATGATCCGCCAGCTGAGATCAATCGAGTACGCGCTTCATGGAGAAGGCGCCCGAATCTCCATGCCTTGCGTTCACTGCGTGTTCAGCGCAAATGTCCGCTAAAAGTCAAATCTAATACTGCACATATCATCGCCAAAGAAGCTCGCTTACTAAGTTTACACTGAAACTGCGGCTCATAACAAAGACCAGTATTGCGCCGGTGGTTAGCGCAAGAATCCTGCTCTGCCTGCTCATAAATTGGGTCGGCTGACTCGCCTGATTTTCCACTAACACAGAAACATGAAGATCAGCTCAGACCTTTAAATTGACACAAACTGAAACCAAAACTTTTAAAGAGTGATAGAAGTGAGACTTTACTTACTTTCTTTTGTCTATTCTTGTTTGAGGTGTGTATTATTTTATATTTATTTACTGATGACTGCTTTGCAGCTTTCATCATTGAATTGAATGATTTATTATAATCTTTTGTTTGTTTTGTAGCAGAAATATTATTTATTAAATTGACATGCACATAAAAACAGCAGTTAAAAATCAATATTTCTTACTGCAATGCTTCATTTTTGTTTGATGCAAACTATACAATTATTTTTCATAAAGTTACAGACTTTTTATAGCAGATAACCTACATTCATGCACATTCAAGGCAGTATCATAATGAGAAATGGAATTCATTGTTACTATTATTGTCATTTTTTATCATCATTAATATTCTATAATTATTAGACATTCATTTTGGAATTATTGCACACAAATATCAATGTCTTCGCAGCATTAGTTAGATAGTTGTTTCTGGTTTTTGTCAGTCCTATTGATGTTGTTTTAAAATACAATAAATCCCTTAAAAAACAATTTGCAGCGGTGCTCAATCATTTTTGGTGGTGCTCCTAAATTTTTTCTGGTGCTACTAAAATTTTTTTTGTGCTCCTAAATATTTGAAGTTGGGAGCACCGGTGCTACCAAGTAAAAAAGTTAATTTCGAGCCCTGGGTTATGAAGTGACGTGCGTCTGTTCAATACAGCACAAGGCTGCACAGGAGCGCGAGTCATGAGCGAGTGGTGCGGGCAGCTGAAAGCATGTCTGTAGAAACGGCTATTCGTACAATGCACTGATTTCGTCAATAGGGATGCAATGATCAGCCGATTCCACTATTAACTGCGCTTTAATTCATCACAGTTTATTAATCGTAAAGTCTTCTCTAAGCCGCATTGCTATTGAACTGAACGAAATGAAACTGCTGCAAAATGCCAAGTTGCCTGTCGCCAGTTTTAAGTTTGAAGTACACCGAGGCTAATACACACGCACACCGGATTATCTGCAGCAGCCGTTCCCATATCACGTCATTTCCGCTTGCAGGTTTGTTATTTGTAATGTAAGAATATATGACAATATGCGGGCGCTAGCGGAGCGATGTGCTCGCGTCTTTCTGGGAGCACAAAGTAGAAAACATTTGACGGTGAGAGTTGTGCGTGACGTTCAGTGCAATGTAAACAAAAGATATGTTAGACGAGTTATTATTAAAATGATTGTGTGCATGAACACGGATGACAACAGGTGATCTAAATAGCTGCTTGCCTAATATAAAGCTTGAATTTACATTAGATGTGATAACCGTGAGCCCATGATTATTCCTCAGACTATATAACTGTACAACCAAAGTTTATAATTGCTGCATCCCTAAAGGCTGATTTATACTTCTGCGTCAAACGTCGCTGATGTGCACCTCTCAAAAAATGTAACTACACGTCGCAACGACGCGTAGCGTAAGCTCTGTGATTGGTTGGCTTGGTAGCGCTGATGAGTCTGGGCTGGACCGAGAGCCGCGTGAGCCCAGTGGAGCGATTGTTTACAAGTGTGGAGTCCCGTGAAGGAGCTCCGGATGGAAAGTTTTGTTTTGTGTTTACCTCATAGTTAAAGTTGTTGCACGTCCGCCAGTTCCTGCACCAAAATGAGCGAGATTGAGTCACTTGTACATCCAGGAAGTGTTCAGGAAAAGCAAAACAGCAGCGAAGAAACTCGACACAGAGGAACATTTACTCCTCACTGCCCACTAGTGTTTCGGAAGTGTTAATGCAGACCAACAGAGACAGCAGCAGAAGTATAAATGCACAGCTACACGCGTTGCCTGCGCCGTGAGTTACGCCGGTCACCTGACGCAGAAGTATAAACCAGGCGTAATTGTTATGCAGCTCAAACATATGAATGTGTCTGAATGTAGAAGAGGCCTGCTTCAGCCATGCACTGCTTCTGTTCTGCTCTGAAATACAGCATTTGAATATGTTTGTGAAAAATAAAGTCTATTGTACAGTGAGCTGATGTTATGTAGTTTCATAATACAATATATTCACATTTTAATGTAAAAAAAAAGCCAGCCTGGGTGTCTTGAGGAACAATACAGCATATATGCCGTTGTGTCATCACTCATATAGCAGGTCATATCTGTCCGGCCCTTCGTTTGGGATGCTCTTCATGAACCGGCCCCCATGATGAACTAATTGCTTAGCCCTGCACTACATCATAAAAACTGACTCAAGTCCTGGACAGTTCATGTCATTTTTGTAGTAAAAATGTGTATGTACTCTGGGTGTTTCCCAGTACTGGGTTGCAGCTGAAAGTGCATTCGTTGTGTGAAACATTTGCTGGAATGGTTGGTGGTTCATTCCGCTGTGGCGACCCCTGATAAATGAGGGACTAAGCTGAAGGAAAATGTCATTTCAGTGAGTTTATTATTCAGATCAGAAGAGAAACATGAAGCCTGGTCACAGTGGCGTTTACATTCACAGCGCTCTGTACATGAGGCTGGAAAACACACACACACACACACACACGCACTGGTCTGAGGACAGCGTTCACACACACTCTGAGAGGACAGAACAGCGGTTTATTTCACTGCTTCACATCTGCACTTACAGCAGGTACACAGGAGGACACATTTGGCTACAAAAATATTTCACAAAAATAGCACTATGACGGAATATATTCATATATATATATATATAAATGTGTGTGTGTGTGTGTGTGTTATAGATTTGTGGATTCATTACATGAATATGTATTTCTAGAAACGTATTTCTATGTGCATCTCTGTGTGTGTGTGTGTGCGCTCATGATGACGGTGCGCACATGATTGTCGTTCAGCATCAGTGTTGTGGCTCGTCAGTGATTCTCCAGTTTTGGTGTGTGTTTGGGTTTAGCT